GGTATCGCTCCTGAGTGATTGGACTGATCAACAATATCAAATATAAGTAGATACAGACGTTATCTGTTTCTGTGTTTCAGCCTGAGGCTCAGTTGACTTTAATTAGCAAGTTTACAGCATAAACAGTGTGAGCTTACAGTCTGGGTGAGGATCCAGGTTCATCACTGATGTCCAGCAGGTTGTCAGAGAGGGAGGTCTGTGTTAGCAGAGGTTCACTTGGAGTATATTTCACTGCTCTAGCAGAAAATCTGTAACGACAGAGTTGATTAGTTACAGTATATTTACAGTTGCTTATGTGATGTCATCACCTTCAGACAGAGACAGGCTGAGTGTTTCCAGTCTTTGTGCTAAGCTAAGCTAACTTTCTCCTGAATGTAGCTTCCTATTTATTGTACAGAGATGAGAGTGTTATTTGAGGATGTTATTTAACTTCTCATCTAACTTTCTAATTTCTATCAACACAACGTTTGCGCAATCTGCCTGAAACCTTTTAACTTACATATACACTTACATACTACTACATACTACATTTAATCAATACTGAAGTCCTTAGTTACCTCCACCCGGGATCATTATCATTAGCTGCAGCCCTACCTTCCTTTCCTATATGAGGTCAGAGCTCTGAACAAGGCCCAGAGATTTCTGGCCGATCGGAGCCACCCTTCGTTCAGGGAGTTCATACTGCTTCCGTTCGGTCGCAGGTACAAACTGCTAAGACGCAGAACTAATAGATTTAAGAACTCTTTTGTCCCTGCTGCTATTGGTTTCTTAAATAACTCACTCTGATTTTATATGGTACACATTACTTTTTTCCAGTTGGAGCTTTGTGTTTATTGAAGAATTTGTAGTATTTATTGCACTGGATTTCTTTTGTATTCATTGTTGTACAGGGTGCACCTTGACTCTTGCCCAGGGTCAGCTGGGATTGGCTCCAGCCCTGCGAGCCTAAAGGATCAGCAGGTATCGCTCCTGAGTGATTGGACTGATCAAATATATCAAATATAAGTAGATACAGGCGTTATCTGTTTCTGTGTTTCAGCCTGAGGCTCAGTTGACTTTAATTAGCAAGTTTACAGCATAAACAGTGTGAGCTTACAGTCTGCGTGAGGATCCAAATGCATCGCTGACATCCCACCGGTTGTAAGCAAGGGAGGTCGGTGTCACGGTAAACCCAAAGGCAGCCAACACAGGGGAAGGTGCAAAAAAAGTTTATTAACTGAAGAACTTACAAAATGCGTGAAACAACAAAACAGGGAACCGAAGCACGAGAGCACACAAGGAACAGCAACCAGAGACACAGGGGATACCACAGCCGACATGAACAGACTGAGGACAAACCAGACATGAACAGACGAACCGACACAGACAAAGGGGAACACAGAAACTATATAGACACAAGGGTGATTGAACACAGGTGAAACACATTAGGGCGGGGCAGACAATCACCACACAGAGAAACAGGACCAAGACAGGAAGTAAAAACATTAAGACACACACAAGGAAGCCAACTACAAAATAAAACGACAAAGGGGAACACAGAAACTATATAGACACAAGGGTGATTGAACACAGGTGAAACACATTAGGGCGGGGCAGACAATCACCACACAGAGAAACAGGACCAAGACAGGAAGTAAAAACATTAAGACACACACAAGGAAGCCAACTACAAAATAAAACAGGAAGTGACAAAATCCAAACCTGAAGAGTTTCCAAAGGAGATCACTGACAGCTCGATGCAATTTAGTTTTACAACCGGACAATTGCCACAAAGGAGATCTGTAATGACAGAGTTGATTAGTTGCAGTATATTTACAGTTGCTCATATGTGATGTCATCATCATCCAGACAGACACAGGCTGAGTGTTTCCTGTCTTTGTGCTAAGCTAAGCTAACCTTCTCCTGAATGTAGCTTCCTGTTTATTGTACAGACATGAGAGTGTTATTCCTGTGCCACATTCAGTCGTATTAACGGTGTTGAGATCTGTGACTACAATTTGGTGCAGATCGAGAAAATAATCATAAACTGTATGTACACTACAAACCGTACTCTTGTGGAAACAGCAAATATTGTTCAACCTAGATAAATATTCTAGTATCAAACAGAAAAATCGTAACCTTCCTGACATACAGAAAAAGGTAAATGAGCCTAATTTTAAGATATTTTTTAAATCAATTATTTGATATTATTCAGTAGTCAGTTATTATCAGTTATTGATTCAGCATAAACATCAAACACTATTTGTTCAAACTTCTCAAATATCCTTTTTTGTTTTATATCGTTATAAGTTTAATATTGTTGAGCTTTAGATTTGAGCTGAAACAATTTGTCAATTGAACAATTTGTGATGCAGCAAAACAAGCTATTTGCACACATCAGTTTGGACTTCAGGAAATTTTAACATGTATTTTCTAACATTTTATAGACCAATTACCAATTACAAAACTAATCAATTAATCAAACAAATAATTGGCAGATTAATCCAAAAATGAAAATAATCATTAGCTACTTTTTAATGAATTATGGGGGGCATTTTTCACTATTGTCTTACATTTCATAGACACAATTAATCAAATACTATCAAATATAAGTAGATACAGACGTTATCTGTTTCTGTGTTTCAGCCTGAGGCTCAGTTGACTTTAATTAGCAAGTTTACAGCATAAACAGTGTGAGCTTACAGTCTGGGTGAGGGTCCAGCTTCATGGCTGATGTCTGAATGTAAGACTTTAACAGGCGGCAGTGGATCATAATCCTCAATCGGCGCAGACAGATCGATGGGTCCTTGTGACACTGGTTGCTTCTCCTCCTCATCCCCACAATCACTCATCTTCTGTCTTATAGTCTGGGAGGTTAATTAGTAACACTCGAATTAAAAAATGATGCATGATTGTACATTGCAAGACTTTGATTATGAAATAAAAACGATGCTATAGTAACACTCGTCCTGCCTCAGCCTTCATGGTTTTGTCCTAAGGTTAAGGTTCTATATCCTATTGTTTTCTTAGCAGTGTGAGAATTACTATTTACCTTTGTTCTGTGACAACAGAGAGGTCAATAGCAATTCCTATGTCAATAGGAACAAAGTGAGACTTCCACTATATATAAACAGAAAAAGATAACAGGTTGAAATAGATTTGACCTACTGTGTACTGATATGTTAAAATATCTTTTAATTACATTACTCAAAATAGAATACAATATAATATAGTAATTGGTGGTAGTCAATGATGAATATACAGATGGCAGTTTATTAGATAAACCTAGCTAAAACTAATACAGTAGTCCTGTAATACATCCTACATTCATGATGTATTGCGTTATAAGGAAAGATGTTTCTATTAATGGTTAGGGGCAGGGATAAGGTTAAGGTTATGGTAATGGGACATAAACATTAACGGGGAAAAAAAACAGACGTTACTTTCCGGAGAAAGTTTGGAATATAGTGACATGAGAGAGATTCCCGCGCAACATGGCGTCAATAATAGTACTGTCACGGTGACAGTTAACGTCAGTTACCGATTAAAACTGTCATCTTGTATCTAAAACACATTACTTGAAACGACTTTAGTTGAAATTATGAACACTGTAGTAGTCTTACCTGCTCCTGCCCAACGTCCTCTCTTCTTCCTCTTCTTCTTCTTCTTCTTCTTTGATTTGATTGGCGTTTATTTGTAAACTTTTATTGAAGTAAAAATACCACTACCACAGGGTAAAAATATTCCAACAGTACAAGAGTACAGCGTCCCAGTAAAAAAAACTTCCTTAAGTCTTCCTTAAGTCTTCCTTAAGTCTTCCTTAAGTTACTTCCTTAAGTTACTTCCTTAAGTTACTTCCAGCATTCACAGTATCACAGCAAAAGCACTTCCCGTAGTTACAGTATCACAGCAAAAGCACTTCCTGTAGTTACAGTTTCACAGTAAAAGCACTTCCTGTAGTTACAGTTTCACAGTAAAAGCACGACCTGTAGTTACAGCATCACAGAAAAGTACTTTTAGTTACAGTATCATAGCTTTTTGTTGTTGTTTTTTTCTTTTAAAAGTGTACAACAATATACGGCAAGTGAGACATCAGTACAAGCATTGGTCTTCTCTCTACTCTTGTCAAAAACTAAAATCAGCTTGACAACAATCACAGACGTAAACCCACCTGAACTTCGTAAAACTAGCCCAGATTTTTATTTAAATTTCAATTAAGAGGGTTATTTTGTTTACTCAATGTGAACTTCAATATGAGTTTGGTAGTATTCGCATTATTATTATTATTATTATTATTGTTATTATTATTATTGTTGTTGTTGTTATTGTCGTTGTTATTATTATTATTATTATTGCTGTTGTTGTTGTTGTTTTTAGCCTATGTTTGTTTACAATAAAAAAATCAATCAAGCACGCCGAATTCGCCATTAGTTGTTCGTATTTTTCGAACCATTGGATGTGGTGACAGCTGCCGATAATTTACTTTGATTTTGAAGAAAATTTAAAAACGGGATTTTCCGGGGTCGTACTTTGTTGTTAACTTTGTTTGCTCAATGTGAAAATATGTGTGAAATATACTAAAGTATGATGTAGTCTAAACAAAATTACATTAATTAGATTCTTACGGAAGAGGATTAGGGCCACGTTAATTTTTTTTTTTAATTCTGACTTTAATCTCAGAATTTTGAGATAAAAATCAGAATTCAAAGAAGAAAATTACATTCTGATATAAACTGGTTTTGAATTTATTTTCTAGGCATTTACTTTTTACTCAAACATCACTATACCAGGTTTTATTTAAATTAAATTTAATCCGTTTTTTACAGTTTATCATCTCCATGTACCTACTGATTCATTGTGTTCAGTAGCAGTGTACTTGAGGACTTTATGTCCCCCCTGCACTTATCAATGCCATTATGGATGTACATTTCTTATGATGCCAATAAAGTTTTTTTTTGAATGGGCGGGGCTTTGTTAGATGATGACGATTTATTCACGCGACTACACCGCGCGCTGTTTGGAGAAGAGTGTTGAAGTGGCGGAAAAGACGTATCGGTTAAAAACATAAAACGTACATATTTCTGGACTCGTTGAGCCGTTGGCGGCCTCACATCAGGCATGTTTAGCCCCCGCACCGCCCCGAGCTCCGGCCGCCGGCAGCAGGGCCGGACCACCGGGAGGAAGAGCGTCTCCGGAGCGGCCAACAGTCTCCTGTTCTCCCCGCGCAGGACGCCTCTGTCGGCGAGGTGAGAGGAAACACTGACCGGACTGACGAGATTAAAGACGCTTTAAAACACAGTTTAAAAACTATATTCAAATCCAAAACCGTTAGACTTGTCAGAGCTGGACTAGATTATCCCAGAGAAGTTAAAAATTCTTTCAGACACAGTTTCAGATTTGTGAAACCTTGATTACGTTTGTGAAAATGCAACAAAAAGGAGATTTGAATGCTATTTTTAATCGCATTGAGACCACATTGGTCCAGATGCTAATCTTAAGGTTGTTTATTTTTTCACAACTAGACCACATAAAACCAGTTGGTTTGTAATCTGGACCTGGTCAATGTAGACATGAAGTCTGCACAGAATAGAACAACAAAGTAGATTTACACTATGACAACATCATAGAGTGTAAACATTAATGAAGAGTATGTATGATCTGCGAGGTTCTCGAGAAACATCCAGGTGCAGCCAATAATTTGGACCTGAGCCACACGACCTCCTCTCCTCCATGAAGACCTGAAAAGGGGACGGACTACACTAACACACTAGAGACAAAACCAAAGCAGATCACACACATGTTTAGAAGAGGGAAACAAACAGAGAGAGAGAGGGAGGGAGGGAGGGAGAGGGCTGGGACTCCTGGAGGACAAAGATCCAGACTCAAAACATCTGGAATGAAGTAGTTTTTAATATAGTGTATTACAGCTCAACAGCACGGCAGACTAGTTTCAGTCTGCTCTGCTTTAATCTAAATCTCCCTCCGCCAGGTCCACACCCACCAGAGTGCAGAGCCATGCAGCTGCAGATTCAATCAACTACGACGTCCAGACCTTCGGCTCATCGCTACCTGTCAAAGTGATGGAGGCTCTGACGATGGCTGATGGTAAAGGAAGAACAAACCTCTTTCTTTCCAGTTTTATTTGATTTTCTGTTCCTGTTCAAACTACTGCTTCCTGAACATTTCTGTGTGTGTTGGTCCCTCCAGCCGATGACCAGATCTCAGTGAAGGTGAATGAGAGCGGATGGGCCTGGATGGTTTGTGGAGAGAGACTGATCATCTGGAAGATCTGCCAGACCGCTGTGGCCAAGGTACAGTTCAGCCCCTCTTCCATCAAAAAGAGCCACATATGACCACGCACCAGTCCAGCCACTTATTCATGAAGGGAAACGTTACAAAGCTGTGGCACAAACAGCTGAAGTGTGTTGATATTCCGTCTTGGAAACTGTCTAAATGGTGATCAGTTACAGACCTAGAGAAATCACAAACTCAGACTCTGTGTGTTTTTCCTGCAGCTGTCGGTGTGTAAAGAGCTGCAGCTGCCCAGCAGCGAGTACAGCTACACAGCCGACCTCGTGGCCGTGACGTCCGCCGCTCCTCTGGAGACGGCCGCCGTTCAGTCCATCTCCGTCCTGGCGGTGGCTACGGAGGGAACGGCGCGTTTCTGGCCCAGCCTGGCTCAGGAGGGCAACTTTACAGAGACAGACGTGGACCTGGGAGATCTCTGCAACTTTGTAGTTGCCGTCAGAGTAAGTAAATTTTCAGTACGTCATGTTTATTATGATGCATGTGAAGCTGAAGTCTCTCACAGTTTACCCAGTTAAACCTAAACCTATTGTGACACAGTAAGCTGTAATCAAACTGAATATGTTTTACTTTACTTGTCCTTATCTGCGACTCCTCTCTCTCTCTCTCTCAGGGGGGAAGCTTCGTCTTGTCCTCAGTGAGGAGTCGGCTGTTGAGAGCGAGTTCAGATTCTTCAGGGAAGCTGCAGTACCGAGCTCTGCTGCAGGGTCAGGGCATGTTGTCTGGTATCGGACGTCGTGTCTCCAGCCTGTTCGGCATCCTCTCACCGCCAGCCAACGACACAGTGAGTCATATTAACATCTGCTGTAGGATTTACTGTGAAGGAAACCAAGATTCCTGCAGCACTGACGTGTTGGTTAAACAGGTTTTAGTATCTTTTTAAAAAAGTGACTTGTCCAGTGTTTGGTGCAGATGTTGCTAAAACTCCCCAGTGCTCAGCTACATGTCCCAGTATGTGAAAGATGATCAAAACTAGCTAATCTGTTCTTTAATGTGTCAGAGTGCACAGATAGCTAACATGCTACATGCACTGTGAGGTGAAGATACAGAGGCAGAAATGAGGCTCTTTGCTGTTCCTTAAGAAAGAGTCTAGTGAGCAACAGTCAACCTCCGAGGCTGAAACATGAACCACTAGAGTCTGGCTCCAACAGTGAGTCAGTCCCCATAGACTCCCATGTTAAAATGTCCAACTTTACAACAGAAATAAACATGTTTACAGCCTGGTACAAAAACTGTTTTGGTATCTAGAGCTGATTTCCTCCTTCATGACACCTGTTTATATAACTCACCTGTTTACATTTTATTAAGGACTACAGTTATGGAGGATTGAGAACCGCTCTTCAGAAACCTGTGGGTGACGTCCCGGCGGCTATGTTCCATTTTTATTTACAGTCTCTGGATCTGTTTTTGTCCGCAGCTCCACAGCGTGCTGTGGTCGGGCCGAGCCGGCAGCCTGTACACGCTGACCAGCTCCAGTCTGAGTAAATGGGAGGTGGGCGACAGCTGGGAGCACCAGACCCTCAGCTGGGACGCCCGCAGAGCTCTGACCGAGAGCATCGCCGACGCCATCTGGGTCAGTACACGGACACACGCCATCATAGACACTGATGCTCTGCAGATGAAATGACATTAAACTTCCATCATTTCTTCCCAACCTTTTCCAACTCATGTCCCACTTAAAAATCTCAGAAATGTTGGCGATGCACATCCGACCCCGTAACAATATGGAGGCCAAATGATGCTTTCTGAACACTTTCTATTTTAATGATAACGCTCGAACATTCAGGACTGAGCTGAAAACAGAAGACGCTGTTTCTCTTTGATCACTCGTTGATTCACCATCAGTCTCTTCGCTCTTTTCATTTAATTTAAACGTTGGTTTATCAGTGATGGGACTTGATGCAGGAAAAAAACAATGAAAAGTTTTTAAACATTTTAAATGTTTTAAAAATGTTTGTTCTAAAACATTTATAAATTGTATTTATATTTTCATTTTTGTATAATTACATCTTTTCACCAAATTTGTTCTGTTTTGCAGATGATTTTTGGGAAACACTATTAAAACTGTAGATTAGATTAAAACACACAAACTAAGAATGTGAATAAAGTTTAGAAACAAATGAAAAGATTTTTCTCCCTCCAGGGATCAGAGAGCAACTACGAGGAGATGAAGGAGGGAGTGAATGTGGCGTATCTCGACATGAAGCTCAGCCAGTGAGTCGTGTGTGTGTGTGTGTGTGTGTGTGTGTTTTACACTTTGTCAGAAAAATATTGAAGAAAATCTTGTGTCAATTGTATTTTGATTAAAAAGCCACTGAATCAATCAATATCGTTATTATCAAATTGTCAGAACGGATCATTTCCCCCTTTTTAAATCATAAACCTCATTGTGTCATAAACATGGTGGAAATGGAGAGAGTAAATGTAAAGATTTGAATGGATGAACAACAAAAGGCTTAAATGCCTTTACATGAGCAGTATTTATATTTATTCGGCTGATGTCGTCTTCTTCGATGTTTTCATCCACAATTTATTCAAGTAAATCAAATCAGGTCTGAACTGAGCCGGACTCTGTGCCGCCTGTTTGCAGATCCGGTCTGGTGGTGGTGGCCGCAGCCTGGCACCCGTCAGACACTCCCTGCCTGGCCTACTTCTGCCTGGTGACCCTGCAGGACAGCGGCGCCGCCATCTCTGACCAGTTCACTGTGGAGGTCACCAAATACAACCCTCCGTTCCAGGTCGGTCCTGATCCCGATCCGGATCCTGCACAGGTTTAAATTAGAGTTCAGTGTGTCAAAGGGTTCACGGTCTTCTTCACTGGTGCTAATAAAGGGACAGTTCTTGTTTTTCTACGTATCGTTAATGGTATCTGTCCTTTGACATGATTTTGTACAGAAGCCAAGAAACGCCATACTCGCCAATATGTTGTAATCTCGTTATCAAAGCTCGTTATCCCGACATAACAAGATAATTATCCCGTTATCTGGAGACAACAAAGCTTTTCTTCTCATTATAATTACTTTGTTAATCCGAGTCAGACACAGCTGGTGGAAACTTCCAGAGTCGTAAAGTGAAAATGTTGGACGACGCATTGATCAACATCAGAGAATATTTCAATCAAGGCCAGAAATCAAACTGTCTTTTCATTTTCAGATCAGTCCTCGTCAGCTAACGAGTTACTGCCACTTTGTGTATGAGGTTCAATCAGAATCGTTTTTATCTCGGATTAACGAGCTTTTTAATCTTGAGATAAGGGGATAATAAGTCTCTGAGATTCTTTATCACCCAAACCCAGTGGTGGATATTATTTCCTTTCCAAAACCAGTGAACCTGGTTTCTACCAAAGAAAAAGTCCCAGTTCGACACGTCCTTGAGTTTTCAGAGCTCCAGTCACAGTGAGTAGAAGATAAAGGCTTAACGCTGAACATGTTGTGTCCTCAGAGCGAGGAGGCCCTGCAGGCCACGCGGCTCGTGTTGCCGCCCTCCCCCGGCTCCACCGCCTTCCTCTACAACGAAGAGCTGGTGTTCGCCTGCTCCACAGGAACCAGCAGGGGAGGGCTGCCTGATGAGAAGCTCAGCTTTAACTCCGCCGGTAAGATATTAACAATAATAATAATAATAATCAATGAGCAAGAATCAGGTTAGAAGTAATGCAGGTAAATGGGATTTTATAGCACAGGGAAGAATGAAGGCGTCAGTTACTGAAGATTTCACATAAATTAAACCAAGAAACAGAGTGAGAATAAACCAGCAACTGCATCAAATAAATAATAATGTAAATACAAGAGCAACATTTAACAACAAGGCAGTTTAAGGTGTTTTACATGAGACATTAAAAGGCATAAAAGGCAAAACATTAACAATGAACTGGTACCTGTCTTAGAAAATAATAACTTATTGATCCATCCGTCCATTTCCTGTTCCTCCTCCAGGTCCAGTTTTTAATGAAACCTTTAGGAATTATTCTCATATGTATAATAATAACAGTGATAATGATATATTCTGCTGGGAAGTGCTGATGGAAACGTGATATAAATGTCAGTAAGTTCATGCAAACATGTTGTGTTTTGTTTAGTGAAGAAGGAACATAATGAAATTTAAAGTGATTATTTGGTTTTTGTTTGTTCTTAAACTTCAGTTGAAAAGACAGAAAGTCTCGATGGCATCTGTGTTGACGTCTGTGTTGACGTCTGTGCCTCTGTCTGTCCAGGTGACGGTGTTCGCGGAGGAGGCTGCTGCGCCAACCTGCCGGTGTTTTTCTCCCAGAACAGCGGCCTGGTGGCGGTGGTGGCCCGGGAGAGCGCCTCCATCCTGCCGGAGACCATGGAGGACTCGCTTTGCTCCTCGCTGGCTGCAGCCCCGGAGGTAAAACTCAAACTGTAGTAACAACAGGTCGGTGAGCCAATCAGAAGAGAGGAGGCTCTGAGCCTCTCTTCTGATTGGATCACTGTTTTCTGAGTGATCCAATAAAAATACAGCAGATTTCAGGTAAAAACACTCAGAGAAACCAAATCCTGTAAAGGTTTGGATGGTGGGTCCAGGTGGGCGGGGCTTGGTGACTGCTTTGTTGTGACATCACAAAGTTCCAGAAGTCCTGACGGCTGGTTTTAAGGCTCAGTTTCTGAATACAGGCTGTGTGCATTTCTCTGTGGACTGAGGCTTTGATACTTTCACAGTATTAATATAGAAGCTAGAGCTGATCTATAATCACACTACACATGGACACAGACCTTTACACTGGAGGAGCTTTAAAAAGGAAATACAGAAAATGGCGCTGAGTCATGTGACTGCGACTGAATCTAAAATGCGTTTCTAATTTTGATTCTGTTTCTCAGGTTTCGGCCATGGAGACTCCGACCAGAGCCGAGCCCGTCGCTCAGGAGGACAAGACCAAACTCCTGAAGGCGGCCTTCCTGCAGTTCTGCCGGTGCGTCGATAAATGGCTCCAAAATCCCTTTAAAAACAAAACAAAACAAACCAAAGCTTCAGTTGTGAGAGTTGGTTTTTGGTTTAATCGTCTCATTTATTATCAGCGTGTCCCCGTGTTTAAAAATGAGCGTTCTGAACTGAATCAAGACATTTTTGTGTCGGACACAGTTTCACAAATACAAAGAGCTTCATTTCTCTGCTGCGTATTATATGGAGGAGTTTGACTGTTCGCATCACTGCTCATCAACAGTAGATTTTTATTTTATTAATACTGAACATGATTTTGATATGAAATGTGTTTAAGGGCTGATGTGTTGTGCAGGTGTTTCACGTCTTTTTGCATAAACAATATTTAAACCTCTGATTTACAACCCGAGGACAGTGACTAAAGATGCTGATCTCTCCTCTGGCAGTAACGACCTGGTGGGGGCTCAGACGGTCACGGACGAGCTCTTCCCCGCTGACGGTGACGGAGAGGAGGGGGCGGAGCTGGACAGCGTGGTGACTCAGATCAACCTGGACCTGGTGGACGATTACCCGGCCTCAGACCCCCGCTGGGCTGAATCTGTGCCTGATGGTGAGGAGGGGAGGAGGGGAGGAGGGAAGGACAGAACAGGAAGAAAAGCACAAACATGATTTAAAGGTTACGGGGATGTTTGTACTTGTTCAGTCTTTACTTTTATGTCTCTGTTCGTCCAGAGAGCATCGGCTTTCCTCTCACCTCCCTCATCATCCTCCACCAGCTGGAGGACAAGATGAAGGCTCACGGCTGCTTCATGGACTTCCTGCTCCAGGTACACACACACACACACACACACACACACACACACACTCTGCTGGCAGTGTAAACGAGGTGTGCATCCTGTTTCCTCTAAATCCTTCCTTCAGTTTTCGTTGTGGTGTTGATTTAACTTTATGGTCACTGTGCAGCTTCATCATCTGTATCACATCTTTGACAAATATGAGGTCATGTGATGATCAATAAGTCGGGGGAAAGATTTGCCTAATTTAAAAAGAAATATGACGTCACGATCCGTCTCATTGGCTAAATAAACAAACCATTTTCCTCCCGGTTCTTTCTGGATCCGTCTGGACTCAGTCGTCTGTTCTACAGGAAGAAAGATGTTTGACAGGATGGATGAAGAGTTTTTCTGAAGCCATTATTTTGTCATGGCTTTTTTTTATGTTTTCTTTTGAAGATATTGGATCATCTTTGTGTCTTTGCATCTTTGTGAATCTCGTCTTAAAAGTCTTAAAAACATTAAGGTTTTACGTTCTATGTCTTGAATAGCTCACGTCTGTTTTTTTTTAACCAGTGTGGACGTGAAATCTTAAATCTTTTTTTTTTTAATAAGTATATTTTTTGGGCTTTTTATGCCTTTATTTGATAGTGCAGTAGAGAGAGACAGGAAATGGGGAGGCAGAGAGAGGGGGAGTGACATGCAGCAAAGGGCCGTCTGATGCGGGACTCGAGCCGGGGCCGACTGCAGCGAGGAGCCTCTACACACGGGGCGCCTGCTTAGACCACGACGCCCCGTGAAATCTTAAATTTCGTCTGTGATGGTTTTAAAAAGTCTTAAATGTGACTTGTTGAAACCTGCAGAATCCCTGCACATGACAGTCATATAAATGGAAAATGTGAAGTGCATGTAAACGACCACATGGTGGCGCCACTGCACCAGAATCCGACCAGCGCTTCACTTTCACTGGCGTCTGACGACAGTGTGTAACTGCCGTCAGACGGACGAGTCCTGGCGGAGGTGACGTCACGGGTGTCAGAGGACGTAGAAAGTGAAATGATGAGCACCTTTTGCTCCTCCGTCAGGTGGGTCTGCTGGACCGGCTCGGCCAGGTGACGGTGCGGTCGTCTCCCATGGCGACGCGCCTGCTGCTGTGTGAACACGCCGAGAAGCTGCAGGCGGCCATGGTGCTGAAGAACCACCACACCAAACACGCCGAGCTGGTCAACCGGGCCATCGGCGCCGCGCTGCAGAGGAACAACGCCGCCGTGCCGCCCAGCCTCACCGCCGCCGACGTCTTCTTCAGAGAGGTGTGTGTCCGTTTCCTGTCGGGATGATTTCATGAGGAAGTTGGACTTCTGCTGAACAGGTGTGTGTGTGTGTGTGTGTGTGTGTGTGTGTGTGTGTGTGTGTGTGTGTGTGTGTTGCAGGTGTCTCAGATCTCCGCGGTGTTCGACTGTCTGCTGGAGGAGGAGGAGCGGAGTCTGAAGGAGAGCCCGGTCGACTCGGTGCAGTGGGCCGAGGTGGTTCTGAACGTCAACAACATCATCAAGGTAAACACATGAAGGAGGAGACGACAGCGCAGACAGGAAGCTTTTAATAAAGTACAATAATTGTACCACCTGGGGGGGGGCTTCTTTCTTTCTTAGGATGGAGGAAGGAAAGGAAGGAAGGAAATGAGAGAAAGGAAAGAAGGAAGCAGATGATACAGTGGAAGGAATAAACAAAGTAAAGGTGGAGAGGATAGAAAAAGGGAACAAACAAAAGTAAAAAGGTTGATAGGATGGAAGGAAAGAGGAACGGAAAAAGGGATGTAAAATGAAGGAAGAATGAAAAGGAAAGAAAAAGACAGAAAAGAAGGAAAAAGTCAAAGTGTAAAGAAAGGTAAAAACTGAGAAAGAACAAAAGTGAAGGTGGACAGGAAGAAAGGAAATAAGCTCTGTGTGTGTGTGTGTGTGTGTGTGTGTGTGCGTGCGTGTGTGTGCGTGTGTGTGTGCGTGTGTGTGTGTGCAGGACATGCTTCAGGCTGCTGGTCAGTACAGAGAGACCAAGGCCTCCATGTACAGAGCTTCTGAAAACGCCGCTGCAGAGCCGGAGTACGTCCCCTGGACAGGTAACACCGACTCACCTGCCACACGAACCAACACGACTCTGAAATGAAACTGATCCGATGGTTTGATACAGAATCTGAAGAAAAGGTTCACGTGATCACGTGGCGTCTGAAAGTCACTTCAGGAGTTAGTACATGAAGAATAGAACATTAAGATTTACAATAGCATTTAAAAACAAATTTAAATAAAAGTATTTAAATGAATAACTACAAACCTATGACAGGGTCAGTCTGACGTCAGAAAACACTTTTTTAGGAGATAAAATCACCTGTAGACCTGAACACTTTACGGCAATATGAAATAAATTATCAACCCCTTTCCTCCTCTTTCCTCCCCCAGCGTCCGGCGGCGTGGGCGGCGTTCGCTCCGTCATCTCCCGCCAGCACGAGATCATCCTGCGCTCAGTGTACCCGCACGCCGACTCGACGCTCCGCAGCGCCCTGTGCGAGCAGCTGGTGGCGCTGCTGGACATCTATCTGGGCGGCTGGGTGGCCCAGCTGACCTCCCTGCAGCAGCAGAGGCCCCCGGGGGCCCAACAGGAGCGCTACAACAGCCTGGAGATGGAGTACAGCCAGCGGCGCTCGGAGCTGCTGCAGCCGCTGCGTAAGATTCACATCACTGACATCACAAGCTACAACAGGCCGGGGGGGGGGGGCAAATATTAAATACATGAAACATTATTATAAATAATTCTGCTGCAGTTTATAGCGCTGGTTTCCTGTCTCTATTTTCTCAAGGTAAAAATAATCCAATAACAAAATATTGACTGAACATTTTTTTAAAGATCCAATAAATGTTGTTATTAAATTAAATTTTTAGAGTCAAGAAGAAGAAATTATAACGGGAAGAACAGATGAGATTTTCTGGGCTCCTGTAACTGAGAGGATAAAAAGAATTAATATAATAATAAACTGTAAATCACAAACAAATGAGCTCTTTGTTACCAGAGCGACCAGCTGTCGTCTCATGGCAACCTGTGGACGAACAGGTGTGTGAGCGTCCGTTACTCCAGGAGTGTGTGTGTGTGTGTGTGTGTGTGTGTGTGTAGTCAGTGTGTATCAGTGTGTATCTGTGTGTAGGCAGTGTGTATCTGTGTGTGTGTGTAGTCAGTGTGTATCTGTGTGTGTGTGTAGTCAGTGTGTGTGTGTAGTCAGTGTGTGTGTGTGTGTAGTCAGTGTGTACCAGTGTGTGTGTGTAGTCAGTGTGTATCAGTGTGTATCTGTATCTGTGTGTGTGTGTGTAGTCAGTGTGTATCAGTGTGTATCTGTGTGTGTGTTGCAGTGGAGCTGGGTCAGTACCAGTGGGTGGCGGCGCTGGCTGAGAAGTTCTGTGACTTCGACATCCTGGTTCAGATGTGTGAGCAGACGGACAACCAGAGCCGCCTGCAGCACTACATGGCCAAGTTCGCCGACCAGGTACACGGCGTCACGGCGTCACGGCGTCACGGCAACACGGCGCTCTTTGTTTTAAAGTGACTTTGTTAATTGAGCTGCTGAAACAAGATGACATGACAGAAAAATACAAATAGAGAAAGTCGAGCCAATGAAATAAGAGTTACATAGAATAGTTTCCTGTCATAGGCGGATTTGACATTTCTATTTAATTAAGGGTTTAATAAAGATTTCATGGGCTGTTTTTGGGATTGCTGCAGGATGAAAGACCTGATTCCTCAGCAGCTTTGTTTTGTTTTGTTTTGTAGAATTTATTTATTTATTTGCAAATATTTTTTCACTGTGATTTTTTGCACAGTTCGTTAAAAAGAGCAGCAGCTACCGGGCACTCTTAAGGTGGAATGTCTTTTGGAGTGTTACTTGATGCGTGACTGGCATTTGGAAATCGATCAATACACCTTAACTGTCGATATGTAAACTTTGACCTCTGGTTTCTATCATCGTCATGACAGACTCTACAGTGATGATCAGATCTTGTGATCATGTGACTGTAGATATTTCATTTCATCTGGAGAAGAAACTAAACTAACTTTATTTTTATAACACCTGGAGGAAAAAAATCCTCCTGTCCTAACCAGAAAAACAAAAGAGAGAGGAAAGAAATGTTGAAATGAACATGAAAGTAAGCTGCAGTGTTTCCTCTGCTGAAGGAGGAAAGGTAGGAAGCATCAGTGTTTCCTCTGCTGAAGGAGGAAAGGTAGGAAGCATCAGTGTTTCCTCTGCTGAAGGAGGTGAGGTAGGAAGCATCAGTGTTTCCTCTGCTGAAGGAGGTGAGGTAGGAAGCATCAGTGCAGCTCTGATCATGGCTGCCGATCAGATATTGGCTCTGCAGCCGCAGCCCTGGTGTCAGTTTCCCCTCTGGTGTTTTATTTTAGTCGCTGTAGTTGTTTCTTTGTGAAGGACGAATCGACCAGAAAGGTTCCTCTCACAGGACTAAGTGTGATCACAAGGCGGCCATGTTTGTTTTCATGCAAATATCTCTGTGGTCTCAGTGGGTGAAGTCACAGTTTTATTTTCAGCTCGCACGCCCGAGCGACGTGCTCTCTCTCTTTCTCTCTCTCTCTCTCTCTCACTCTCTCTCTCTCTCTCACTGTCCCACGTGTCACTTCCTGTCGCAGAACTTCGCTGACTTCCTGTTTCGCTGGTACATGGAGAAGGGGAAGAGGGGGAAGCTGCTGTCCCAGCCGGCCGCTCAGCACCAGCAGCTGGCCAGCTTCCTGCAGGCGCACCAGCACCTGAGCTGGCTGCACCACATCCACGTCCACGACTACCACAGTGTACGACACACACACACACACACACACACACACAGCTTGTTTCCTTCCTTCCTGTCTACTTTCACTTTTGTTTTGTCCTTCTCTTTCTTTCTTTTCATTCTCTCTTTTTTCTTTCTTTCTTTCTCCTTTTATTTTTCTTCCTTTGTTCTTTCCTTCTTTTCTTTTTACCTTTAACTTTGTTTTTTAATCATTTGTTTCGTCTTTACATCCTTTCATCCTCCTTTTTACTTTTGTTTCTTCCTCCCTTGTTCTTCCCTTTCTTTCTTCCTTTCCTCTTTTCTTTCCTTCTATTTCTTCCTTTCTTCCCTTCCTCCCTCCTTTCTTTCTGTCCTTCTTTCTTTCTTTCCTTACTTGTCTTCCTTCCTTCCTTCCTTCCTTCCTTCCTTCCTTACCTTCTTTCCTTCCGTCCTCCTTCCTATAAACACGCGCTCACACATACAGTTCAGTTTACAGTGAGACGGACTCAGTTTCCGATACTGATGACAACCAGAGAGCAGCTGTACAACACACACACACACACACACGCACACACACACTTTCTACAGCTTCCTTCCTCCTTTCAGGTCACTTGTACAAGATAACCACACACACACTCTGTTTAACACACACACACACTGAACTTCCCTTTTTTTAACTTGTGGATTCAGTTGTTCGTCTGAACGTCGACACTCTTCTGTTTTAAACTCAGTCTCACTTTGTTTTTGAGTTTTTATTTTCTTTGCTTCACTGGATGATTAATGTCACTGTTTCATATTGACACGACTCTGTAGTTGAAACACGTGACCCGCCCACACATCACGAAAAGACTCGTATCAAACATCAGAAATACAACGAGAGCGACGCTCACACAGACCCAACAGGAACATTAGTCACATGTAAATACAGTGAGGCAAAAAAGTATTTAGTCAGCCACCGATTGTGCAAGTTCTCCCACTTAAAAAGATGAGAGAAGCCTGTAATTTTCATCATAGTTACACCTCAACCATGAGAGACAGAATGGGGGGAAAGAATCCAGGAAATCACATTGTAGGATTTTTAATGAATTAATTGGTAAATTCCTCGGTAAAATAAGTGTTTGGTCACCTACAAACAAGCAAGATTTCTGGCTCTCGCAGACAAACTTCTTCTTTAAGAGGCTCCTCTGTCCTCCACTCGTCACCTGTATTAATGGCACCTGTTTGAACTGGTTATCAGTATAAAAGACACCTGTCCACAACCTCAAACACTCACACTCCAAACTCCACTATGGCCGAGACCAAAGAGCTGTCAAAGGACACCAGAAACAAAATAGTAGACCTGCACCAGGCTGGGAGGGGTCAAAAACTGCAGTTCAGATGATGCTCTGTCCATTTCAGACTGAATTTGAGTGTGTGTGTGTGTGTGTGTGTGTGTGTGTGTGTGTGTGTGTGTGTGTGTGTAGGCCCACAGAACGCTCTACAGCCAGGCCAACATGGAGACGCGCTACTTTGTGAAGAAGAAGACGCTGCTGGCTCTCAGCAAGCTCACGGCGCTGGCGTCCGACCTGCCGGAGGACCAACTCAACAAACAAGTCGACGGTAAGAAACACGACCTGCTCATAACCGAGCCGGACTGTCAGAACTCCAGGTGTGAAGGAGATCGACTGCGAGAGGTGGAATCTGTTGTTTTTAATGAAGAAGCAGCAATAAATAAATTCCACTGTAATTACAGTTTATCGGCTCAAATCTCAGGAAGCAAAGAAAACGCCTCCGGCTCTTCAGGGTTAGGGTCTGACATGTCGCTGCAGAACCGGTTTGATCCGGATGTAAACTGAAACATGAGACTTGTGATTCGCAGCGTTGAACGTCTCCTCTCTGTTAATGATCTGTCCAATCAGACATGGTGGAGCAGGAGCGCTTCCTGCTGCATCAGGAGACTCTGCCTCGACAGCTGCTGGAGGAGAAGCAGCAGAACCCCGACACCATGCCTCTGCTCAGCGCTCACAACCTCATACAGGTGAACACACACTCACACACACACACACACACACACACACCTGGGAGAAGAAACTAGATGTTTTTCCAGTGAGTGTAAAAACAGCTGCCGCTCTCTTCAGTGTTTCCCGCTCTGTTCTCCGCAGCTCTACATCTGCGACGACAACAGAGGAGCCAACGAGTACGACTACAAGAAGGCTCTGGATCTACTGGAGTACATCGACGAGGTCACTTCCTGTTTGTGTTGAGCTCTGCTGTGACGTTCGACTGTCCAGGCGGTTATAAGTCAACTTTATGTGGCTCTTCTGTGTTTGTGTTGCAGGAAGACGCCGTGGACATCGACTCGCTGAAGTGCGAGATCTTCGGCAAAGCGCTCAGGAGAGACGAGTAAGGTTTCGTTTATTTGTCCCTTTAACTGGAAGACTGAAGTGTTGACAAATGATTAAATACTAAGTTGTTTGTTGTTGTTGTTTGACTCCGGTGCTTGGTTCCTCTCAGCTGGTCCTCGGCTGACGGGAACGACGACCCTCTGGAAGCCGCCAAGGACAGCATCTTCGTCAAGATCCTCCTCAAACTCACTCAGGAAGGTGAGAAACGTTGCTGAACTCTGCTGAAGCTGTGAAATGTGTGGAGTCGGTTTAACTGCTGACTCAGAGGCTTGGCCCGCCTGGACTACACTGGAGCGGAGCTGTTTCACTCTGACGGCAGAGTGAGGAGAAGCTGGTCCGAGTTTATTGAAGCGACAGAATAAAGACAGAAGGAAGAGAGGAGTCAGATATTTAGAGCAGCTGATTTTTCATAAATCCTGCTCCAGAGAATGAGAATAACTCATGATCAGATAAAGATAGAAACTTCATATCAACTCTAGAACAACTCAGACAGATATGTACAACTTTCTGTGTTGAAGTTTTCTGTCTTTATTCTGGCTCACAGCTTTTATCTGCAAAATAAGGAAAAATTCAAGGTCCATTTTTTTGTTTTATGGGCTATTAACGTCTGTTATACTGAAGTCTTCATTGAGTGACACGTATAATAAGCTGAGGTTGTGCTGATTCTGAGTGATGTGAAGCACTTGGCAAAACTTTTATAAGGAAGAACACAGGAGGAATTAAAAGACTGGACCTGGTTCCACATGATGTGACGTTTGTTCCTGTGTTTTTCAGGCGTCCCTCTGCAGACGTACCTGCCCGACGTCAAAGAGCTGCTGGAGTCGGACGATCTGAGCAGCTTGAAATCAAAACCTTATTTTGAATTTGTCCTTCGGGCCAATTATGAACATTACCTCCAGGCCCAGATGTGACGGCTCCTCCCCTGATAACACCCACTGCACTTCGGCTTCTGTTTGCTTTCTAATCATTTTCAGTATTTGTCGTTCCTTTTCTAAATAAATGTGTGGATTGTTTCTGTAGTTGGACTCTGATATTTGTACAGATGCATTTTAGCTGGTGGGGAAGTTCTGTTACTTGTGACTGGGTTCTGTTGTTATTGACCGGCATCTAGTGACATTTCTGAAGCAGTGTTTTCATTTGGTAAAAGATTTTTTAAAAAGGATGAAAGTGTGGGAATTAAACTGTTGTTCATATTTATCTACAGAGGAGAAGAAATCAGAGGGAAGTGAAATGAGACGGATCTTCCATCCAACACGTTTCTGTTTCTGTTTATCACAGAAGAAACTAGTCAGATAATCTGGTTTTAAATGAAGCTGTTAAAAACGAGGTATGTGCATGTCCAGAAAAACTCTTAATCTGAATCCAGGATCAAATCCAAACCTTGAATCTGGGTTCGTCTTCCAGCATCTGTAACGTAGATTAAAAATAGTAATTAACAGGTTGTCATCATGTTTTCTAGGTGGAGAGAACGTGTTTGGATGTTGGATAAAACAAGACGTTTGAAGATTAAATGATAATAAATCAATAATGAAACGATTCTCAGACTAATAGATAAATAAATATATTTATTAGGCCTCCGCTGTTGGAATAATAATGTTTTCTGTGTTAAACTGTTTGACAACAAACAAGCAAAAATTAAAAATGAAGACTTGGACACATGGTGCCTCTTTAAGATCTGGACCACATCAGACCTAGAAAGTGACAGAAACCTGATCCTGGAGGATCCTGAGTCCAGCTGGCCTGCGAGAGTCGGGACTTCCTCCTGTTGGTGACGAGGGGCAGATGTTGCTCTTAAATAGATGTGGGCTCTCGGCCGGCTGACCGCCACCGCGACAGGGATCCTCCTCCGTGATGATCCACTTTCTCAGCTGCAGATGGATTTCAGCGTCCAGCTCTTCTAAAAATAGTGGAAGTAGGTTAGATTAGGGACAGCAGCTCCACAGAGCTGAAACGCCCTATTTCAAACTGAGCGTCTGCTTTGGACATGACACAGTCTTATGTAAGGAGGACGGTTACCCAGAAACAACGCAGCATATACTTGGATTAAATAATTCAATTCAACATACTTCATTCATCTCCAGTTTGCAAAGAAAAAGTAAACAAACGATTCACTTACACACTTAAAACACAGTCTGGAAATACAAATATGACAATTATAGACTCGAAATACATATGGATTAGTAGAAATATATATCTGTCTTTATTTAAACATTTTACAATAATGTCAAGTAGGTAAAAATACCAGTTAAAGAAGGACATCAAATTAAAACAAACATAAAAACAGTTAATAAATAATGTGATGACAAGAATCATTTAAAACAGATACAGAGATTAAAATGTTTAAATTAAGAATCTAAAATGACAGAGACACCGACAAATACATTTTTGGTGTGATGAGGTGCAGTGGACCAAACTAACATGGCCGACAGTATCCAACAACATGAGGGAATATTTTATGTCAAAATATGTCAAAGTGCAAGTTAATTTTAAGAGGATGAGTTTAGTATTAAACTGTATAAGAGCAACGTTTATTCATTGGCAGAACATAAACCACAAACACAGACTAGTAAAATCTAGGCAGGTAGACAACAGCAAGAAGCTCCTGGGTTCAGCTTCAGTCCTGCTTCTTTCCTGCAGAGCTGCATGTTCTCCTTGTTTCCTCCAGGACTCTGATTACTACAACAAACACATGACATTTCATTCACTGAGGACTCTAAACTGTCCACAGGTTTGAGTGTGTGTGTGATAGTGTGTTGTTGTTGTGTGATAAACCATTTCCTGCTTTCCTCCCAGTGCATGCTGGGATACATTCCAGTACTTCAAACTTTTTTTGTTTGAAGTTTGAATGTTTGATGTGATGAAAAACAGTTTGCTACATTTCATCCAGAATTACAAAGTTTGAATGTAGAAGTCACATAAATGTAAAACTAATAAGATTCACCCTGAAATCACAGAGGAAATCTTTAAAGTGTTAGTGTGGACATTAACCTTTATAATAACAAGCTACATTTTTAATTACAGATAATTAGTCATTTTACATACATTTGTATCTCTGTCTGTTCATGTCTGTTCTTTGTTAAATAAACCTGCCTGCACCGTCTCCCATGTGTTGGCTGCATTTGGGTCCAACTTACCTCGCAACCCTTGACATCACAAGCTAAAGCTAAATGTACAATTTAAAGTAAAGTGTAAAGTTTTATGTGTGTTTTTCTGTCTTTTGATTCATGTTTTCCCCCGATTATCTCAGTAGTTTATAATCTAATAAAGGTATAGATGTAGTATATAATATAATAGAGCAGCTTCTAACAGAGAACTGGAGGTTTGTTTTGAAGGTCAAGAGCCTGAAACATTGACATTTAACCTGTCGAGGCAGGTGAGAAAAATAACTTACAAAATTAATATCCGATCAGGATGTTGTGTCTGTAAGTGTGAAGTCACTTTGTTATAAATGTTGGAGCTGCATCATCCCCTCCTCTGGGTTCATGACGACAGTCCTGGTGTCTCTGAATCCTGACCCTGCAGAGAAACAGCTGGATAAACACAGCCGGCTCAGTGTCGGACTGTCAGAGGAATTCAGACTCAGCTGTCGGGCGTGTTGGAGGTCCTGACCCTCTTGTTTTAGACACCGGAGTGTGAACTCAGCTGCTGTTGTTCCAGCTTCCAGTCCAGAAACAATCTCTGAAGAAAAATCAGGGTGTTTGACAACGATCCTCCTGAAACCAAGAAGAACCTCTTACTTTTCTGGCACAGGATAGAAACAATATTCTTTCTTTCTTTACCAAGTAAATTTGATCATCAAATTGACTTGATTCTCTGGTCTCTGATTGGCTACTTTAATTAAAATGAAGTAAGTCTGTATGCTTGGTCTGCAACTACTAAATACACAGAATGACACAAAACTGTTTTCAGTATTTACACTTCATCTTAATTCGGCTTCAAAACATCTTTCAGACAGTGAGACTTTTAACTGTTTCAAATGGAAACTTTTAGCAGCGAAGAAACTTTTACAACATTTAAACAATTCACTAATCAGTCACTTCCAAGCAGTAACAAAAACAAGTAGCTGTTGGACAGTAAATCTAACAACTACACAGAGATGCAAAGCTACAAAATGAACAAACGGCTGTAAAGCTACAACAAAGAGACTCAAAACAACCAGAGACAAACTTACTACAAAGCCACAAAGATATTCACACTACAACAAGACACAAAAAAGGCTCAAAAAAACTATCAAGAGATGCAAAACGACACAGAAATAGTAATAAAGAGACACAACATGACCATAAAGACACGCTAAATGACGAATACAAAGACACAAAACGACTTCAAAGAGAAGCAAAACGACCACAGAGGAGTGAGTGTGTGTCTGTCATTCATCATGTAGCTCAGGGTCAAACTAGGAAACTGTAATCTTACATTCCTTGTAAACAAATGTTTTTAATTCTCTACATAACTTCGTATGTTTGTGTATAGTTCGATTTTTATTGGTTGTCTTTATAATGCGATGTTATGAGTCTTATTCATAAGACTTATCTATTTCATCCGTAACGTGTGTGTGTGTGTGTGTGTGTGTGTGTGTGTGTGTGTGTGTGTGTGTGTGTGTGTGTGTGTGTGTGTGTGTGTGTGTGTGTGTGGGGG